TTTCATAATATGTAATAAATAGGACATAGGACCTTTTTATTTGTGGCATTGACTTAGTTCTGATGTTGTTCTATAAATGTCATAGAAATCATGCACAGGTGCAGCGAGGTGCAAAAATGTGAACATTTAGCTCTTATTGCATTATAATAAGGATGACAAATGGAACAATTCGACAGCTGTGCGACAATATCGTCAAGTGACAGTGACATTGCCACACGCAGGCTCGCGCACGCGTAGCGATTGTGATGTTAATCGACGATTGACAGTTGATGAGTTGCGCAAGAGTCGATCCGATCTGTCACGGTGAACGCACGCTTGATTGTTGTATTGTGTCAGTCATCATAAATGTGATCCTAAAAGTTACGGTTCTATACGAACATGTAATAAAACTCTGGAAAATGTGATTGTGTAGGGAGAACGGTAGTACTCGTATAGCCAAGCCAAATACTTACTGACAGCAGTAACAACAAAAATTTATATCGACTTGTTTAAATAAAATAATAAATATGTTAGGATTTTTAGGGTCTCTACTACACTACCCAGTACCTACTCGTATTAATTTCAAGATTTTTAAAAATTCATCACATCGGTCAAAATTAGATAAATGGGGTGTTAATGAGTTAAGAAAAAGCTAAAATAGTAGCTTTATTTTATGAATGAAAATAAAAGTTATAGTTTATATAGGTCACTGTATCAGTGTAATATCTTCAGCAAAGATGGATTATCATTTTAATAAACTCGTATTCATATTGATTTTTTTCGGCCGTTTGGTGTAGTGGTTCGAAACGGACTACTATTCCGGAGGCAGCGGGTTCGATTCCCGCACAGTACAAACATTTGTGTGCATGAACATATTTGTTTGTATTGGACTGGGTGTTTTCTATGTATAATATGTATGTATTTACAAAAAAAAAAGTATTTAAGTATGTTTATATCCGTTGTCTAGTACCCATAGTACAAGCTTTGCTTAGTTTGGGACTAGAAGCGCAGTGTGAAATGTCCAAGGATATTTATTATTATTATTTATTATTTATGACAGGGCTGGATCGATGATACATCGATAGATGAGCAGAATTACGAGTAGGTACTCTCAAACCTACAAAGATTAGATGAACTTAAGTTTGAAATGGTAAAGCGTTCGAACCGATAATTTATTAACATCTCGATTATTCATTTGATTGCAAGCGACTCAGTCGCATTCAGGAATATTGAAAGCAAATATAATATCAGATTAACATGTGAAGACAGATATTAATGGATATTCAGAACGAATTTTCAATTCAAAATGATTATGTTCAATTTAAGACACCGCAATTTTATGTACTTAAACTATATTAAATAAACAGCGAAATCACTTCAAAGTGGCTTAAGTGGAGCTTTGAACAGACTACAGCACGTCAGGCTACACATTTGTGTTGCAAAATCAACCCTATTACAATAACACAAGATCCCACAGTTTATTTTGTTGTGCATGTTTGCTGTCTGTGCTATGGGAAGTATACATTTCTCATGACGGTACTGGTTTGTAAGTGCATCGGTTACGGAAGACCATTTTTTGTACTTGTACACAAAGTATTGTTACGTAAAAGTAAGTTACGGTCTTAACAATGGTCTCGTGATATGTGGTTGTTGAATGGTTGTCATAATCTTAGCTTCCTTCTCAGAAACAGTTTAAATTTTTGATATCAAGAAACTTTAATATTATAAAGTAAAAGCTGTAGCATGTAAAATTTTGTTGCAAAAGAAATCTTGTTAGAACGTAGATACTGCTGTCGTTCATACTTCAATAATGATCATACCTACTAAATTAATGATTACCTACGTTCCTCTTTACTACTATACTATTAAACCAAAGTCGCCCTGTTCGTTTAGATCTTTTAAACTACGCATGGATTTTAATGCGGTTTTCAGCAATAGATAGAATGATTCATTCAGACGAAGGTTTTTAAGTATCTCTACCTATAATAATGTAAAATAAATGCATTCGTGCGAAGCCGGGGCGAGTCGCCAGTCTAACACAAACGGTTCAGCCAAATACGATATCACTCGCTTAGTTTACTCCTTTAAACGTATGTAATTAAATTTGAATCAATTTTGTTTACTGAAAGGTCAAGGGAGGTACTCGTCATATTTAAAATAATTATTGGTAATAACGTATTGATTGATTCATTTGATTGATTGATTAGAAAAAAGGATCGTATGCATAATGATGTAGGTACTTACTCGAACATTTACTAAACATTATGATGAGTGCATGATTATTAATCGATATTGATGAACAGAATTGGAATTTACTTAACCCTGAAGCCTGATGACGATTTCTAAGAGTTACCAAAATATCATTTTTCTTGACATCATAGCACATCAATCTCTTTTCTGACACTGTCAAAAGATTTCATGCCCAATGAAAACGACTAGAGAAAAATCACAAACGTTATAAGTCGCTGAAAATGAAGTAGAGATACTTCGATTACTATGTTCAATGTACTCACGCCTTGAATGAAATGCTTACAAAGTTGAGTACACAATACAAGGAGCTTCGTATTCATAAAAAGTTAACAGTTGTATCGTTACAGTTATATCGCACAATTGATCAATTTGCGCAACGCCCGGGGCTGAGCATGTGCGTGACACACCGATGCCATATTCGTGACCACTCGATGATCTCGATTACACTCTTGTTCGGTTTGTTTGACTATAATAACAATTATACGGTGTCAATACTCAAACATATTTAAACAGGTCACGGAACTTTGAAATTTGAAGCCTACGTAAACTTAACGTCCTAGATTATTTGACTATAGTGCCTACGCAGTCAGTTATAAAACTATATTGTTTAATATCATACGTCATTTCTTAACATTAATCTCTTAAATGGTTTACGATAGCAATGAAATCGATGAGGTTACGATTTAACGCGTGTGAACTTTACTAACTCGCACGCTCACCAACAACTGCAGTTTTCCATGATAATTAAGCCATAAACTAAAACATGTAATATGTAAAACGACTTCCAACAGGGAAAGCATTTATATATATACATGTATCGGAACATTAACATAATGAGCGTGCTTGTGAGTCAAGGTCGATTAATTCGCCTGTTTAGCATATTGGCCTTTTAGATATCGAATGTATCGTGCGAGATAGGAGTAAATCTAACACATGAGTGATCAGTCGTCACCGCGAGTCGGCGTGGGAAAGGCCGGACATTGGCGGCATTGTCCGATTCTCTGTTATTGCAAACCACATTTTGTTATTGAACTATTGTTATAGTAAAGCGAAGCCGAGATTGCTTGTTATCTTTGGATGTTTGGTTAAGATTAGCCGGATTAAACGTTTACAGCGGATTATTAAGATAGCCTGCAGCATATCAGTAGTGTAAATTTATTGCCTATCCTACTAAGTCTAGCCAACTTGTATTTTTTTAGATAAGAGAGTAGTGTCTATTGAAGACATTATCGCCATTTAAGTAACTACCCACTATTAATTAGTCAAAGCACTTAGAAAGTACGTAACACATGTCATATTTGTTTAATGAACAGTTAGACAAATCAATGTATTTTAAAGCTCAAGCCACTTTCGTTTCCATTTGTCAAACTAGGCTTTGAAAGCCAGATGTCAAATGTTAATATTTTGATCAATGTTGGTCTCAAAAGTTATGAGTTATGCCGATTATTTTTTATATGAGTGCGAAGTGAATTTCACCGCGATAAAAAATAACGATTCTATGATTCTATTGAGCGTCGACTTTCCTTATCGCTACACTCAATAGGTTACTCGTAGCTCGATGCGCCACGAATGGATCGACACGCTTTATGTTAATGTCGAAGGAGATCAATCTTAGATTTCATCTAAATTCGATAAACGTTATGCTACTATAATTTTGCGAGCGATATCGAATAGGAAACCTTCATGAGAAGTCAGGTCAATATCCATAATATGTAATACGATATCGAGTACTTACGCTAGAAGAAGATGCAAGGAAACAGCTTTTTGTTTCAAAGTAGCAAAATAAAAAAGGAAAACAAATACAACTAAACAATTAGGAGAAAAAGATTGCTGGTGGAACTGTCAGCAACACTATATTTTATAAGAAAAACTTGTACTGGTCGATCTAAAATCTTTGCTTATTTTGGGTCTTGATGGCGCCGTGTTTAATTAGAATATGCGAGGAATTTTCTGTGCCAGGCACATGACGACGATATTTGAAGACAACAACATGGCTCATACAAGACAAAGTTTAAATGGTAATAAAAAACTAAACAATGCGAAATGTTATTTTTTTACTGCAATTGATTTATCATATCCAGACCGGTTGTGTGGCGTAGGCAGAGAAGAAGAATTACTCGTACTGCTTGTCGCAATGAGACGTTTTTTGTAGATGATTATTGGTAAAAATATTATTATTTGCACTCCATTTCATTAGCATATAAGTCAAAGTCCGTTGGACCTTTTTTGACATCTAAAATTAGAGTGGAAAAATCTGAGTGGGCTGAGAAGTTGATTAATTACCCTTCAAGATGGACAGGCTTGTTTTACAGATTTAAATTAGTACCGAAGTATTTAAAGCACTCGATAAACGTTACTTTATACAGTTTATGTACTTTCAGTCTAATAGTCCTTTAGGGACTATAGCTAAAGTTAAGAAGTTAGCCCACTCCAAATCACAGGTTAAATCAAGTGTTTCATAAGGATATTTTACAGTTACTCCGCGCCCCGTACTAAGTGTAAGGTGGTGTATAAATTACAATCTACTAATTTCTAATTAGTAACTATTCTCAGAGTTGTACGAATTCGAATTACAGTTTCTGTGAAAAATACTTTCTCTACTAAGGTAATATCTGCACTATTACGACCATTAATTTTAATTAGACTTAGTATTAGTTACGTAATAAACTTCAATATTCTTTTGTTTCTTTTGTACAGAGACTACATTACAAATACCTAATGCAACAATGTTGAAATTACAAAAGTAATGCCTTTTCAGAAGCTCCACTGACCTGCACAATGGATCCAACGAGCAGACCGAAAGCAAGCGCGATGGTGGTGACCTTCGGGGCGTTGGCCTCGACGATGGCGATGCAGGACGCTACGCCGATGGAGACCAGCACGAAGGTGCCCAGCAGTTCTGCCACCAGCTGTCGCCACAGCAGCTTGTTCTCTGTGATGTCTGAGAGGCCCAGGATCGAACCTGTCTCTGGACAACAAATGTGCAGGTAAGTCGGATGTTACAAAACATAAAACTCGATTGAATCACAGTCATAATATGATTATCATCTTCCAATTGATCTGACTAAATGATAAAAATTGAACTAATCGTAAGCCTCAGTTTATGCCTGGAATTGAATCGAGTTTAGTTGCAAGATTTGTCCCACACATACTAACAAGTGAAGTCGATATAAAGCTTGTAAAAAACTCAAATTATCACAAAATAATAATTTTATAACATAAGGTGTTACATTATTTCCTGGTTACGAAAAAGTATGCAAATAGAACGTTTTGATTTCCATTGTATGGGCTCATACAACGCATTCCGTACTCTATCATGGTGAATAAACATTTATGTTATCGACCTACTTTAAGGTGTAACAAATTCAGTTTTTACGGCTTTTGAATGTGAACACAAAACGAGAAACGAAGTAAAATCGATGTAATCGATATTTCTTAGAAACACGAACTTTATAACTGCAGTTAAGTCATAAAAGATGCTTATTTCAAACTCTAATAGGTATAACCAATTATATAACACGGTTACTCATTTGTTTTTTCAATAAATGCATCAATATTAATCTGTGGATCCATTGAAATTGTAACTGGACAAGTGAAAGGAACATAAATACACATAAGTGAATAGAATTGAGTATTAGTGTATGACAGGTTTGTTAGTACTACTCATAACATGTCACTGACCGGAAGTTGATGGATGAATGTGGGGTTAACTATTGTATTAATAGTCAATAGTTTATAAGACTCTCTCCTGAGATATAATAATAAATATCCTAAGCTTCTTATAATATATTTTACCAATAGTTATTCCTATTTTATAATCACAAAAATAACAAAACAGTAGAGCTATTTTTGAATCACTCCAAATTCAAATTTTTCCAAACTGCTTAAAATGCGATTTTGCATGTGAATAGGTATTTAGTATTAAATTTCATGTTGTATCTGGCTTAAACAAACCGTAGTTCTAGAATTATTACATAAATTATCTACTTTTATTTATTTTCACCTCATTAAATATTATTAATAACCTACCTTTATCGAATCGAAACGATCGAATTTTCGGATAGTTATTATTAGAATTAAATAAACGATGTGCGTATATGTGTAATCATGAATTTCCGCTTTTAAAAAGTACTTAATCAAAATGATTACTTTACATTCAATCACTTTGTGAGTAGGTATCCTGAGCCGTGAAATCAGATCGAGTGTTCGCGAATTCTATGGAAATACGCCGAACAAATCTGTACTCAATTATTTTTTTCTGGCAATATAACTTTTTTTAGCTGTTGGTCACGGTAGCGATACTTTTTGGTTTATTTCCTAAAAGTGTCACGGGAAAGTAGCCGTTAAAACATTCAAAAATCTAAGCAGCAAGAGGTGATATTTGCAGACGCTGTGTACCTAACTTCTTTTTATTTGTGGCCAGTCACTCCTACAGCGCATTAGTCGGAATATTTCGCTGGAGCAAAATAAAACAAATACGAATATTATTAAACAGTAAAACTATTATTATATTACATCATGATTGAAAATTTATACACAGCTTACGACTTAACTCGTAATAATTTGCATTTTATTGAAATGAAATACTTAAAAAAGTTCTATTAAGGTATTCAGTATTCTACACAGATATAGTTCTATATCTGTGGTATTCTATCAACATTTCTAAACCTAATTTATAGGCAATGCTCTTATTATTATGTGACCTTACAAAGCAAAATGACAAATTATTGCTATAAAATGTAGTACTAAGTTGATCATATACATATTATTATAATAAGTTGGTATATGCGACAGATATAATTATTTACTTTACAACCATATTAATGGACGTATTGTGTAGAGACAATGGCATTGCTCGAATAAATTTTAATGATAATGTTTTGGTGTAGTTGAGTAGTGTGACTAATATTCATTTGAAAATATTGTCACCTTTATAAACTCTACCCTTAAAATTATTGTTTTATAAGTGTTTGCACTAGTTTTTGTCCGTAGCTTCGCCCATGTGATTTTCCGTCCGCCACAGAAAGATTTACCGCACGCGTTTCGCTTTTAAAATATCCTAACAAAACTCCTATGTTTTTTCTTAGGTCTTCAACTAACTCTATACCAAACAATAAAAGACCAACATCTGGATGGATATCCACCCTTTCAAAATTTCACACAGTCCTATACTATTGGATGTGAGTTTGTGAGGAAGATGGATGATGATATAATATGATCTCTTGCCTTTATTTATTAAATACTAGCTTTACGCCCGCGGCTTCGCCCGCGTGGAATTTTGTCTTTCACAGAAAAACTTGATCGCACGCGTCCCTGTTTCAAAAACCGGGATAAAACTATCCTATGTCCTTTCCCGGGACCGACTCAAACTACCTATCTCTATGCCAAATTTCTTCAAAATCGGTTCAGTGGTTTAGGCGTGAAAGCAAGACAGACAGACAGACAGAGTTACTTTCGCATTTATAATATTAGTATAGATTTATTATTATGTATCGTGGTAGAGCAATTATTACTTATTATTTACCCCCTTACTAATAAAAATTACACGTATCATTGTATCAACAGTATTTGAAAGTGACGTTTAGTATAGAAATGTCATTTTAAAACATTTCAACAAGCGTGTAACTTTTTTTTATCTAGGCACAACTTAGGTAAGGTCCATCTACTCGTATGTAGTTTGTAATTAGGTACATTTTTTAATAATATTGCTCCCATTTCTATATCTCAAGGCAAAGAGAGATTAACTAATCAAACAGCGCAGGCGCATTTGCAGGACCTTGTGTTTGCACCTGTAAGTCAATGTTTACTACAAATAATAAGTACGAGCTTGCGCACCGAGATAAAATGATTTAGTTTGCTCTACTTTTCTTCAGAAGATCTAATTGTTGAAATGTTTTTCTTTGTGAACAACTGCTAGATACCTTTGTATTAAATAAAAGGATTTTAGACTAAATCCGCGCTTGTGCACCGAGATAAAATTATTACAACTTGCTCTACTTTTCTTTATTTTTATAGCATTAAAGTCTAATTGTTGAAAATGTTATTCTTTGAGAGCTAATGTGCTTGGTAGCAAGTAAAAAGATTTTTGGAGTACCTAATTAAGTGCCCTGAAAAGAGCCTACTATTACACACTAATAAAAAACTTGAATTTGAATTGAAAAAACAGGACAACTTCTTTATATAAATACTTAAACACATACAATTGACATTTAACAATGACGAACTACAGGTGTTCAATAGGTAATATTTAAATAGAGCAACTACATAACTATTTATGTCGTTTTCATGATTCTTATCACTTTTCTAGAACTATTAAATATGTAGTTAATTAATGTCGTTCGATATTATTATACTAGTTACTTTAATGTTTATGCTAAGTTGGATCACATTAACTGCATGTAGTTTAACGACTTGGAAATTATTCCGGTCTGCAGTACTATCGGTTAAATTAATAGTATTCAATTAGATAACCTTGGAATTGAAGTTAAAGAGTAATTAAACATACTCTACTTTTATGTCTCTCAAAAACTTGAAATGTAAAGTAAAATGCATTTCTTTTATCGTTTATTTACCATTCACTAAAGCCTGGATTTATCTTACAAAGTACCTAAATGGGAAAATAACGGTCGATCGTAAATAAATAAAGGTTTCTATAAGTTTACTACTTATTTAAATTGTTAATGTATTTTTCTAATTTTCATTAAAACCAAAATTAAATCTTCAGAAACTGTTCGTTCTGGTGTCATTATTATTTATAATTTATTGGTTTGTGTATTGAAAATAAATCCGTTTTAATTTCTTAAAGAAACAGGTACAAAGTGTTCACACTGAAAATTTAAATTCCCCTAATGCTCTATTCAAAACGTTTTTTTTTTTCAGTTAATAACAACATTTCTAACTATTTTCATTGAAGTGGTAAAAATTTAATAGCAATGTTACGGAATGCAACATGAAAAAGTAATTCTTATCTTGTGTAAACATACTCGTATAATCATTTTCCTTATAAAGACAGTGCGTAGATTGTTATTTACTTAATGCAAAATCTTACTCTACATAATTTTCAGTACTGTGTTGCCATTTCATATAATTATTTAAATATACAAGCAGAATAATTGCTGAGTACTACTTACTCTTCTGCATCTCATCCATAGCGTAATCCGTTTTCATCGTGATAGTATCACCGGCGAGCACTTTCTAGTTCAGTCCAGGCACTTTGCGTTTAGACAGAGCCCAACCGCAGTGTCGACAGATAAAATAACCACTGTGAAAGTAATTTGCTTCCTAATTGAAAAATTCCGATGCCGCTATTTCGAAAGAAAAAGAAATAATAGAACGTCGTTCAAGTTTGAATTTTTGAATTTCGAGCGTTGACCGCGTGTGTGAGACCACCTCTCGGCGTCGCAACATACACTTGAGTGTGCGATCTGTGACCGGGGATGGCTGACAGGTAACAGGCAGCGAGAGCACCGCACTTTTTCGTTTCAAGTCGGCACATACTTCGCCGTGTTTACAAATTAACCGCGAATTAATTCGCCCATATATACGCGGAACAATACCGCGGCGTGAAATGCCGATTACAGACTATTGTAGCTCACCTATTTACTAACTGATAAACAATAGGTGACATTCAAAATTACGTACAATGATATTGTATAATGATATAATACGGCCCGTCACAGTTAATGTGAGAGCAAGGATTTTCAGTTACGTGTCATGCACGTGTATTAACTCTACATATTTGTTACGTGAAAATATGTATTTGATATTGATACAAGTGGTTCTGAAATTGTCATTAATATTCAGGAATGTAGTGAACCGCAGGAATTTTATCGAATTTTATATTTTAATTATTGGTCACTTTTTTACAGTGATATCTCAAATTCGGTGGCAATCTTTGTTTGCGCACACGTTAGATAGTGTTGAGATAAATATGTTGTCGTAGTCTGATTGCTTTAGTTAAGAAAATAA